AAAATAATTAAATTAATAAGAAAATCTTAGATGAATTATTCAAATCGTCTTGAAATTTGTTTTACTAAATGTTTACAATAATTGTCAAATCTAATTAAAGTACTATACAAACTAACTTGACACTTTCCTCCTTGCCTTATGAAACTATCGGTTGTAAGCTAAAGTTTATTCACACAGTACAACATTTTGCAATTCTGTACCTGTGCCTAGTAACAATAAGTAAACAACTAAACGTCGAAGCACATAGACTCGTACTTAAAAAAAATACTAATTCTTAAACTTTGAATTAACACATGTAGAAAAAGAATCACGCAAATGTGACCTTAAGTAACGTATATGTATGTACACTTGTCGATAAAACAATAATACTATAAGAACCAGTTCACATTCCTTTTTCTTTATGTCGTTGTCAACATCTCAACTGACGTATACCTGAAACCTTTTGTAACAACTATATGAATGCATAGACATCCATTTCCATGAAGCATAGATCCGAAAGGTTTTTGAAAACCTTTTGAAGAAAATCTTCACACCAGTGCAACATTTAAGTATCACAATATCAGTTGGGGAAAAAAATACGCCATCTCCTGCAATCCGAAGCAATCTTGCCACAAACATGACGAACCAAAGCTAGTCGAAAGCCTCAAGCTTTGGAGAGCGCTGTGGCTCACTCGGTGATTTCTTCGACGTCGTCATCCTTGACGCCTGTGGTAGCCCAATCTCAGGCAATCCTCATATATATTATCCTCTCCCTTATCTTGCGATTTCTAAGTTCGCGCAGCGCCTTGGAAGCCTCGGCCGGGCTCGAGAACGCGACTCTAGCATCTCCCGTAGGCATGCCATTGTCGTTGTACCTCCTGATTATTTGGTCACGGTGGATGTTGAAGTCGCCAAAGAACTCGATGATTTCGTCGATATCGGCTTTGAAAGGAACGTTTTCGAGAGCTAGTACGCACCCTGGCTTGCCGAAACCCTCGATGGGAGGTGGAGGCGCTATAGATGGCGGCCCATGTCGGCCCATCATCATCCTCGGAGGCATGCTCATCATCGGAGGGCCACGCATACCGAAACTACCCATGCCACTACCACCACCGCCACCACCACCACTACCTCCACCGTTTCCACCACCACCACCACCACCACCGCCAAATCGAGGATTATGGTGCATCGGGGAGAAGCGAGTCCGTGAATCTTGCATGTGTTGCGGATAGTGCTGCTGCTGCGTCTGCTGCTGGTGGTCCAGCATCTTGCTATCGTTGATGCCCAGAGTTTCGAGCATTTTGCCTCTGTTGACTAGTTCGATCGTCGGAATGTTCTTACCGAGGGGTAGACCGTTTTTCGCGGTGGCGCGTACGGCTTCCTCGCACGTATCAAATTCACAGAAACACTCGCCAGCCGGTTTACCTGATTGGTTTAGGAGCATGTGTATGCGATGAGGAACGAGTCCCACGTCCGAGAAGAAGTCGAGGATGTCCCGGTCTATCGTCTGGAAGGGTAGGTTTCGCATTATCACACAGTCAAAGGATGCCGCGCTATCCAAGTTGTTGACGACGACGTGACTGCCACCGCTACCGCTCATGTTTAGCTGCTGTTCGTGTTCGCTCTTGGCTTTTTCAAACTTCTCCTCGCTAATGGACATTACTACCACAAGTTTGCTGCCCATTTTGTGCGGCTTTGAAACGGCGAGCTTGGCGTCATCCAATCTGGCGAATTGCACGTAAGCGTAATATTGTGCGCCGGTTATGTCCTTTTTGCACGTGATGAACAGATCGTTGATCTTCCAATCTTGAAACAGCTTAGCAATGTCCATTTCTTTGACGAAGGACGGTAGATCAGAGACCAGTACGCAAGTGGACGTTATGGTTATGTCGTTGTCGTGTGTTTTGTCTTTCCTCGTCTTGTCAAACGAGTCGCTAGTTTTTTCGAATATCGACTCATCCAGGTGCAGCACCTCGACTTCCGAGCCACGCACAAACCTAACGCCCTGGAGCGCTTGTTCTTTGGCTTCGAAATTGTTGAACTTGACGTAAGCGATGCCAACGCGGTTTCCATGGGTGTCCGTGATGAGTTTGATGCCGTCGTGGCGGATGTAAATGCCCTGGAAAGCGTGACGTACGTCACCGTAGCTGGCGCTCATTGGCATGTTTCTCACCTCCACGCAGTAACCGTTCAAGGATTTTTCCTTGGCAAATCGCGAGTTGGCGACCCGACCGTCACGGCTGTCTCTGCTATCGCGGTCCCGATTGTCTCTGTCCCTGATGTCGCGATCGCCTCTGACGTCCATCCTCATTGAACCTCTGTCTGGGCCATTCTCGAAAGGTCTGTGAGAAGAAGGTTGGAAGGCATGAGGGTTCCTGCGGCCTTCGACGTCCTGCTTGTGAAACGAGTTGTTCTGCGACTTCATGCCCAGTCTAAAGCTCATGTTACTTGCAGCGCCATTGGAATTGAAGCCCGAGTCCTGCGAAAAGGGACCGGACCGAGGCGGGAACCTGTTGTCCATGCGATCATGGCGGTCATTGCGGTCATGCCGGTCACCCCAGGGCTCTCGATTGTTGCGATTGTTCATGTTACCGCTACCGGTTAGAGAGGGCAGGGTACTCGACAACGAGCTGAGCGGAGGAATTTGAGAGTTCATGAGGCTGGACACCCCACCGAGGCCGCTCACTCCGCCAAGACCATTCAAGGCGTACTGGTTTGCAGACAGAAGCGAGTTCTGGCTCAGACCGAACGGACTGGGCCTCTGCTCGGTGTCCTGCTGAGGTATGACCGAGGCAGCCACCGCCGCGTTCAACAAGCTCGGCATAAGCATCGACTGCAGCTGATTCTGAGGTGGAACGTCCCAAACACCGTTTTCGGGTAGACTGGGCTTTTTGTTAAGTCCAGATTTATTATCTTTGGTGAATTGACCGACGCAGACGACGTCGTTGTTGTCGTCGTCGATTTGGTTGTCTTTGCGCCGATCAGGCCCACCACTGACGCCACCGACGCCAACTCCAGCGCGTTTGGCGTCGCGATCGCGCGAGCGCGTTCGGTCGCGCGATCGAGACCTGTCCCGCCTGCGCCTGTTTCGATCTCTGCGGTCGCGCTCTCGATCGCGGGATCGACTCCGTTCGCGGCGCCCGCCTCTGCGATCCCTGCCACGGTCCCGATCTCGACGGTCGCGGTCGCGGTCCCGCGACTTCGATCTTTCGCGCGATCTCGACCGGTCACGCCGATCCTTGCGATCCTTAGCATTACCGGCGCCGTTACCGCCGGCGTTGCTGCCACCACCACCACCACCGCCGCCATCGCTGTCGTGATCGCGGTCTCGGCGGCCACCGGCGTCGCTGCCGCTCGATTTGTTGAGGGTGGATGGAGCAGCGGGGGTGACCGTGACAGGGGCGGCCGATTGCATGAACGCGTTCTGAAGGTTCAGGGTCTGCTGGCGAGCGGTTTCAATGACTTTTTGCATCTCCGTGCGCGAACTCAGCAAAAGCTTGATCTTCATCTCCTTGATCTTGCCGCCGTCCTGCATCATTGCCTGGCGAGCATCTTCGTCCGTGCTGCAATTTTTTATGTTGTGCGGGGGTAAAGCGGTTTGTTTCGTTGTTTATCAATGTTTATTGTTTCAATGAAATACTTTTTAGATGACGTTAAATTAAATGTGCTTTGGGAAAAAGTAACTTTTTTTTTTTTTTGTTAATACTCTTACGGCGTTTTTTTTTTTTTTTTTTTTTTTTTTTTTTTTTCATCAGTTAAGTAATTTTACAAGTGTTTGCTCGATTATTTTTTTCCTTAATTAATCAATTGATGAATATTTAATGTTTATTATTAGATGTAACGGCTAAAAATTAACGAAAATCGATGATGCGTATCGAAGTCGTTTATCCAACACAAGGGAGTGTCTTAAGATTACTTACGTAACATCCATGCATCAAATAATTATCTTGAGCATGAAAGTACTTGATGGTGATTTATTTAATTTTGTATGAATTAATCACATTTTTTAATTTACTTTGACTTTTCATGAGAAAAAAAAAAAAAAAAATTACGTATTTTTGATACGGTAAGCAGTTAAAGTAATCAAAAGCATGATCCCCTATATGAGATAAGGGTCGAAGACGAATCAGCTCTCCGCTGGGTGTAATTAAACGCGTGTCATCTCGGGTGAAGAAAATTTCAAAACAAGTCCAAGAGTCTCTCACCTAAAAGCTATGAAAGCATCTCCCAGTTCTCCACCAACGATGTGAACGCCACCTTCGGGTATGCTAAGGCCGCGGAAGAACTGACGGATGTCGAGTGCATTTGCGGACCAAGCCAGATTCTGCAGCCTTATTATTACGCTCATTTTGACAGCCGGTTAAAACAAATCTGCAATCCACATGAAAGAACACAGCTGTTTACTCCATCGTTTCAAACAGCTGAATCGTCGTAATGATGGTCATGATACGGCGACGTGATGTTTATTTTGCTTCATAGTTTGTCAACTCCAACAGTCAACCGAGTGAGTGAATATTTTTTTTTTTTAATTCTTTTTACTAGAGGGTTAGTGATTTATTGTTGCTTATTTTCCCTAACGGTCTGTATGTTCAGCCTACAGTTTGTTAATTTCCTTGAAAATCATAAGTATTCAACAACTACGGGAAATAAATGTTGAGTGCTAAATTGGATCAAGTAGTATTGTACATAAAAAATTAAGTTCATTCATAGTAGATTCCTGATTGTAGGGATCACAGCAAAAGGGTGCCTCGACAACAGTCACACTATAGCTTAAGCAAGAAACTGCTTTTTGAAATTAAAGAATATATTCTCAAATTTTAGATTTGATAATCAAGCATGAAATTTTTATTTAAAAAAACTGTTTTGCTCAAATTCCATTGGAATCAGATGTGGGGCGTGGCTAGAACGCACTTCCATTACCGTACCACTGATTCTGCGACACTATAGAGACCATTTTTATGCACGTGTAAATGTAGTGACGATGAGCAAAACAGGTCCAGTCTGACGATTATCTTTGGCACCTCCGAATTATGGACTAAAGAAGCAGACAACAGATTCAAACTGATTTTATTGGTAATTGGAACAGTAACTAATCAAAATTAAACGACTCGTGCAAATAAAAACTGTAAGCAGTCTACGTTTCAGTTGTACACAACAGTGCCATCAAACGGAACTTTGGCACTCTAATAAGTCATGGCTACATAAAGTCTATACCTATTGTAATTTTCTTTGGCAAAACGTCGATTTGTACAAGCTATTGTTCGCTGCACACCTCTATTCACAATATTTTTAACGATTTTTCAGACATATTTTATTAAAAATGAAACTAGCTGCATGTGTATATTTATGCATGCAATATATTTCGATTTCAGAAGTAATTTTACTAGACTGAATTTTTAATTAGCAAAAAAAAATATTGAATTTTTTCTACATCGTATGTTGCAATAATTTAACCCACTCTGAGCAAGGTGACTCTACATTTAAGGTAGCAATTAAATCGATCTTTGCAAATGTACTGTTACTTTTGTAATGTTCATAAATATAAATATGTCAGTTAAAAACTACTGGGACTAACTGTTCGGATTCTTGTTGGACAGTCCCTAGTCATTTTTTAAATGTTAATTATTTGTTGATTTAGTTTTACCTTTTTAAAAAAGTAGTATTATTTTTATTATAATAGAATGCATGAAAATGACGTACACTTTACCGAGTCAATAAATTTTGGTGTAAGGACTAGAAATGATGACGCATCTTGCTCCTCTATTGATCGCATTATTCATTTTGTTCACATGTTTTACAGCAGTTTCATAAATCGTTGAAAACTGTGATGCATGTACCCATACCAACGTCAACAAACAGTATTCATGCAGAAAGACTTCAATTGTACATGTATCTACATAAATGCTCGAGTCGAAGAGATACCGTTTTTTATACAGTTCATTATTGTAGCAGCGGTAGTACCACTGCTACAAGAATTTTGTTTTCACGTGAGCATACCGTTACTAAGTTAGCGTGAATCTTATGATACAATTTTCCCTATATGTAGTAATTTTATAAAAAAAATTCAATATTCAGTTTTGTTATCATTACCTGCATAAAAGTAACTATTCAAGTATTTTGACGATTTTTTATTTTCTCGTTTGCATATAACTGATTTTATTGAATAATATTAAATAAGTTTTTTATTTTATTTTTATTTACTCGGAATTCATGTAGTTTCATTTTTTTTCATTTTATTAGAGACCATTTTTATGCACGTGTAAATGTAGTGACGATGAGCAAAACAGGTCCAGTCTGACGATTATCTTTGGCACCTCCGAATTATGGACTAAAGAAGCAGACAACAGATTCAAACTGATTTTATTGGTAATTGGAACANTATTTTTATGTAAAATAATGTATTTAAAAATTGATTAAATAAAAAGTTTTTATAAACGTTTGTTTAGAGTATTCATTATATTTATATTGAATTTGTGCATATCGTTATTTTATTATACGTGAATACTGTTTTTTTTTTAAATTTTCTATCGAGTTTATTCAAAAATATCGTAAAGATATAGGCAATCAAAAAATTTCTTATTGTTTAAAGAATAATTATTAACTTAAATGTAAAGTAACTTTTGTCATAAATGTATTGTTACTAATGATGTTTGCTGATAAGGCTACTAATACAGGTTTGTGTCGTCATCAAAAACAATTGAACTCATTGTTTGAAAAGTATTAAAATTAAATGACGATAAGTAGGTACTGTTTATATTTAAATACTCGAGATGATTGACTCTCAATAAGGTATAAATTTCATTGCGTATCAAGACGCAATAATTTTGTTGTAGACTAAACTTTTAAAACTAAAATGTTAGAACATAATGTTTTACATTCTGAAATAACTTTTTACTGGTACTTTCAGACGGGCACTTTTTAATATTCGTGACACTATCTCTTTTTGCTTACAATGTCAGAGAGGGGTCTTGATACACAAATGCGGTAGCTATAGGCTAAACTTAAAAAAACCTTAATAAATTTTTTGTAAATAAGAAAGAAAGAAACTAAGTTATTTCCCTATTGTTCAACTATGGAATTAAATGTGCTTTGGGAAAAAGTAACTTTTTTTTTTTTTTTTTAAAACCTTTTCGGGTTTTTTTTTTTTTTTTTTTTTTTTTCATCAGTTAAGTAATTTTACAAGTGTTTGCTCGATTATTTTTTTCCTTAATTAATCAATTGATGAATATTTAATGTTTATTATTAGATGTAACGGCTAAAAATTAACGAAAATCGATGATGCGTATCGAAGTCGTTTATCCAACACAAGGGAGTGTCTTAAGATTACTTACGTAACATCCATGCATCAAATAATTATCTTGAGCATGAAAGTACTTGATGGTGATTTATTTAATTTTGTATGAATTAATCACATTTTTTAATTTACTTTGACTTTTCATGAGAAAAAAAAAAAAAAAATTACGTATTTTTGATACGGTAAGCAGTTAAAGTAATCAAAAGCATGATCCCCTATATGAGATAAGGGTCGAAGACGAATCAGCTCTCCGCTGGGTGTAATTAAACGCGTGTCATCTCGGGTGAAGAAAATTTCAAAACAAGTCCAAGAGTCTCTCACCTAAAAGCTATGAAAGCATCTCCCAGTTCTCCACCAACGATGTGAACGCCACCTTCGGGTATGCTAAGGCCGCGGAAGAACTGACGGATGTCGAGTGCATTTGCGGACCAAGCCAGATTCTGCAGCCTTATTATTACGCTCATTTTGACAGCCGGTTAAAACAAATCTGCAATCCACATGAAAGAACACAGCTGTTTACTCCATCGTTTCAAACAGCTGAATCGTCGTAATGATGGTCATGATACGGCGACGTGATGTTTATTTTGCTTCATAGTTTGTCAACTCCAACAGTCAACCGAGTGAGTGAATATTTTTTTTTTTTAATTCTTTTTACTAGAGGGTTAGTGATTTATTGTTGCTTATTTTCCCTAACGGTCTGTATGTTCAGCCTACAGTTTGTTAATTTCCTTGAAAATCATAAGTATTCAACAACTACGGGAAATAAATGTTGAGTGCTAAATTGGATCAAGTAGTATTGTACATAAAAAATTAAGTTCATTCATAGTAGATTCCTGATTGTAGGGATCACAGCAAAAGGGTGCCTCGACAACAGTCACACTATAGCTTAAGCAAGAAACTGCTTTTTGAAATTAAAGAATATATTCTCAAATTTTAGATTTGATAATCAAGCATGAAATTTTTATTTAAAAAAACTGTTTTGCTCAAATTCCATTGGAATCAGATGTGGGGCGTGGCTAGAACGCACTTCCATTACCGTACCACTGATTCTGCGACACTATAGAGACCATTTTTATGCACGTGTNTTTTTTTTTTTTTTCTGGTCCCTCTATCTACTTTTTTTTTTAAAGCTAATGATCTTGAAGCGTCCAATATGTTATGTACTTTAAAAATTGTTTTTAAATTAATCATCCTACAGTAACCATATAGTAGTATGAATACCTATTTAAGTAGTATTCTTCTATTTCTAAACAATTTAATACTTTAAATACATGGAACTCAATATTAATTATAGGTAAAATTATACTCGTAGATTTACAGATGCCAAGTAATTTTCCACTTCTTGGAAATAAAATTATTGTGAATATCGTTCAACGTTGTGCCTTTCTTCAGCGAAAGTTCAAAAACACAGGTATCACGCCAAACAACCCCTAGTTCCCTAAACTTTGAAAAATTGCATTTTTTCCAAAGATATTTGTGCACGAATAATTTTTTTTTTTTTTTTTACGTAACCGTTTAAGAATGTTCTAAATGATAAAAAGGTATACTTTCAATAATGTCAATATTCCTGAGTGTCGAAAATTAGCTTATTTTTCTTTTGGTGCAAAGCGTCGATGTACAAAGTGGATTTCATGAATGAGCCCCAACACTTCTGGACACTGTAATCTGAATAAACTGATAGTCAATTTATATAAGTACGTGTGTAGATTCCAATATTTCAACGGCCAACGGAAATTTTTGGTGAGCTTGACATAGTTTATTTTCTGTAGCCAAATAAAGAAAACGTTGACGAACTCGATGAATCACTGACTCCATGCTTTCCGTTTTTTTAAATATTGTGAAAATTCGCCGGCATTATACATCATACAATACAATATGAGAATCAAAGAACATTTACTTATTTTCTCAATACGTTTTGAAATTTTTTTATAATTTAAAAGCCTATAAATTAGTAGTTAATGACGTGTAATTAACGTTTGGGAAGAAAATATCTTTAATATAAATCGTAGACAGTATATTTAGTTAGTTTCTTTAAATATTTAACTATTAATTGTTCATTTATACGCTGAGGGTTAATTTAATTATTTGAACAGATGAAATAGGGGTTTTGATATTTGTATTACTTAATTATCCGTCGGATTTTCGATTAGAAGCATTTTCAATTTTCTTAGCTATTCAATCTGTAAGCGAATTACTTTTAAATAAATGTTTGAAATAGCAGTGTTGCTCCAGGAACTAAATACTTTTCTCATTTTAAATAAGACTGACATTAACCATCTAAGGTATTAAGTAGTGAATAGATTAAATGCTGAATTGTATTTTTAACCGTCAAAAAAATTTCTTAAATTCACGACGAGATCTAAATAAGTTTTTGCAGAGAACCTTGCACATCCAAGACTACACCTTATGTACTCAGCAGCATCGTCGAATTACCAAAATCTGCATCACTATTAATATGCTGTTTTCGCAAAATAAACGAAGATGACAACTAGCATACGAAGAACGATCTGAAGTTGTTACGACTCAAGACAGCCACATTACATGAATTTTGCATAACGACACCTTGCATTTTTAAATCTTCACTCTTAAAGTTGGAATTTTTCCAAGGCATTTCGTTTTAGTGATGAATCATTTTTCAATCATTGATGCTTACAGGTGGTAAATGTACGGATCGTGATAACTGGTGTACTCACAATCCAAAGCAAATAGTTCAAAATTACTAAAGAGAATTAATTAAAAAAAGCCTGCCATTTCTAGTTCTGTTTAACTGTTGGGAGTTAAAATGTTAATGGATACATAAGATTGAAAATCAATTTTCATTTTTTTGTAAATAAGAAAGAAAGAAACTAAGTTATTTCCCTATTGTTCAACTATGGTATCATCATTTTAGACTTGTTAGAAAAAAGTTCTTTTGTATAAGTGCATAAAAATGTAAAAAAAATTACATTTTTGTCTTCACCGCATTTCCAACTCTGATTACAGAGGAGCGCGGTAGCATGTGAGGAAAAAAAAAAAAAAAAATTAATTAAACAAAGAGCAATCTATCAGTAAAGAGGGAAGCAAGAAAAACAACTGAAAATAATGCACGGATAAAATGGACACACGCATGTTGCATCGAATTCTTATAACACGTAATAGCCATCGACGCAGAGTGCCGTCGGATCCCACGAAACAATGAACCAAGCACACCATGAACTTCAAGGATATACAATCACGCGAACAGCAGATAGAAAAACCAACTCATTTTCAACCACATTTCTTTCTTTAGTTAATCTTGCTGCGAAGAATAAGGCGAGGAAAAGCAGAACGTACGATGTGATCCATCTCCACGTCCGCACCTTCGGGTATTGGGTATACAAGCGTTGATGTATGTATGCATGACACGCATACTGTACGTATATATTATGGGATAGAAAAAAAGCACGTGCGCTGGCCGGCTGGTATCAGAAGTTTAGTCTGGGTCTGGGACGCCTGAAACAGCTAGGTATTCTATACAGTACTTACTTGATACTAAATTTTTTTTTTCTTTTCTCGCTACTTTTAAGTACAGTTCTATAAATATAATGTCTCGAAAATAATTGATTGATTAAAACACTTATGCTTTAAATATGTTATGTAGTCATGACAAGATAACGAGATGGTGCTTGTAAACAAGATTCAAACTGAGTAACGTAAAAGTTATTAATATCTCTGTTGTATGCAATTTTATGAAACTTATCTGCTACTATAATGGCTTACACACACATTACATTGCAAATGTTCAAATGAAATGAATAAAAGTGTAGTGCTATATACAATTCATAAAAATCTATTTTAAATATTAGGTGCATACATGATAATTATTATAGCAACGGGTCGTTTATACATTTATATTTTAAACAAACACCAACTTGCAGGGCATTGCCATTCACCGAAATTAATTGAGCTTATTGTTTATGCTTTACGAGAAATTCATTCGAAATTGATTAAATGATTTTATTTCTTTTGTATTCGTATATTAGATAAACTTACAAGTCTAGATTTTGATAATTGAGTTATGCAATTGTTTGAGTTGATGGTCGCGAAATACTACTTTCAAACTCAGGCAACTGACTAAGAAGAGTTTTTAATTTCAAGAAAATTTTTTTTTTTTTTTTTTTTNTCTCGTGGTTAAAGGGTACGATGAAATTTAAGACGACGCAAATTGAGAGGACCAAGCAGCAAAGTAGTTATGGACAATGAGACTCGGCAAAGATGAGGAAAACAAAAGTTCGATCGCAGCACTTTCTAATCGTAATTTTATTTTGATTTAAATTTCAAAACAATCCAGCGACGATCTCTCCAGTACCTTACTTTTGCACCCTAACACTTGAGAAGTTCTAAGATTCCTGCAACATACATCAGTATTTCCACACTATACCTTTTTATACGTAAATATATTAGCATTTAACAGTACGATACATACATTACGCGATATACTCTTGAAATCAATACAAACACAACAAAAATTCACGATATAGGCTTTTGTCTAACATACGTAACGAAGTATTGATTTTTCAAGCCATGGTCGTGTACTCTATGCTTTTTTTTTTTTATAGAATTAACGTCTACTTGTTTAAGAAAAAAAATTGAGACAACAACAGATTATCGTAATTGAGTATCCAACGCGATACGTAATCAATCCTCAAAAGTCATTTGCATGCAATGGCAACTTGTTCTACACACCAGAATACCACGTCACTCGCTATTACATACAAATATGTAAACAAATGGCCTTCCGTATGTTTTTTTAAATAAGAGAACGCGAACAAAACACAAAATCACGACTCAGCTACTCGTAATAAATGCAATTGCTTAGCCGAGGCAACATGGACGCACCTAAATGCGCCATTATGAGCGTCTGTTTCCACGCACCTCGAACGATCCAGAAATGGAGGCTTATCACTACTATCCTTTTCGTTTAAGAACAATAAAAAACTCACCCATACGACAGTCACAAGACGGACGCGAGGCTCGCCCTTGGGGAAAATATTGCGCACCTACAAATGCAGCCCGGCCGTGTTATTTCTTTTTATTTGTATATCAGCTAACATTCGCAGATTGGAAAAAAGGTCAGAGTCCGAGACGATTGTCCGACCGCCGTCCGCAGCCGTCGAAACTCGATTGTAAATATAACAAAATGGCGGCGGCTTCTTGATGCTTATTTTGCTCTTCTGCACCTCCATCCCTCCTTCTTTTTGCTTTTTTATTTGCGCGCGCAGCGCGGCCAGTGACACCTATTTTAAGCGCGCGCTATTTGAATAGCCTACTTTGAGCTTTGAGATTGTTGCTGCTGATTTGAACTAATTTTCTAAAAGATTAAACGTACAAGTCAAATTTTTACCATCACAGATTTTAAAAATAATTTTTTAATCTCTTCCAAGTGATAAGTATTCAAGAACCATGGGTTGCAAACTATTTTTTGCAACTAATTACAAATTTTTTAAACGCACTAAAATCAGGATTATTATTTCAACGTGTTTCAATAATTTAAAATCAGAAGAAAAAAAAAGTTATTAAAATTTATCTACTGTCCGCTGTATACGGGAGTCCGGTCACGACATACTTTGGATTTTATCATTCTGATAAACAGAGCACGGTGTAAGGTATACGTGAAGTTATGTGTAGTAATTATATAATAATCACTACTAAGTAGTGCCATATGGTCGATTTGATTAAACCATAGAAGTAGAATATCTATACTTTTGGAGGTCAATTTTTGGATAAAAGGTAAATTGTGCACTTATCACAAATAGCACAATTTACGTCATCTATATAATAATTTTAGTATATTTACTTGATTAGTTGCGGCTGGTTTATAATCGATTACATATGGCTCTACTGTAAGTAATATAATTTATCTAGATTAATTTTACCCTTTAGTTGTGTGAATTAAAATCATAAGATTTTATAATTTGTATTTTGACGCTTATGGTTTATTTTTTTTAAGCTACTTAAAAATATCATGGTTCTGAAAAGTGATAAATATCCAAGTACTTAAGGAGATTAAAATAGTTCTGTGCTAACGTAACTTTAGTGAGTTGGAAGAGTAATTGGTTTCAGCATGAAGGCATTTTTTTTCTGTTCAGCCACTCCTTCATGCAAAATATCTTGAAAGTGCCAAGATCGCCAGTCAATGTGGAAACGTATAACGTTGACGCCAACCATGACAGGCAACTGCTGACTGTAGCACCCAACCGAGTAGTTATGATTTCTTTAATACCAATAACCCTGTGTCGACTTTTATTATAATTTTGTAGATAGTACAATATTTTTTTTTTTTTTTTTTTTTTTTTTTTTTTTTTTTTTTTTTTTATAAGAGACGCCATTAGCAAAGGTTATTTTTTTGGTAAATTGCTTAAGGTCAATTTACAAATAAGCCAGTTTTTTAATTTTTCGTTCTTAGAGACCTACTATTCTTCAGCATTTGTTTCCGACTTACCTTTAAGTATATATTGATTAGACCGAATTTACACTGGTATTCTAAATGAACTGTTCTAGGACTGTTTTTATCATAAACTTAAACCCTTTTATGTATTCATATTACTTGTTCAAGTTTATAAATCTTGCGCCACAGTAATGGCTACTAATGCAGTGGAAGAGATTTTATTTAAAAACCCAGGGATAATTGATTTTGGCAGTTAATTACACTACCATTTATTCAACTATTTATTGTGATGTCAGAATTACTTACCACTCACTCGGTAACTTTGAAGTTTATCAAGACAAATGTATGAATAAATTAAGATACTTATATGTAATAGAAAACTTTGTTTAGTATATTCCATTAAATGAAAGGAAAAAAAAAAAAAAAAAATCCAGAAGCAGTAAGAACAAAGAAGTGACTGATGTGAAATCCACTTCTCCTCGACAATAACAGCTAATTTTATTACATTACTAGGTTGTAGAAGTTTACCTTTTTTGTTACAGTAACTCAACCTTCCTTCTTCTTAACTGTAAGCGAGTCTCGTGGTTAAAGGGTACGATGAAATTTAAGACGACGCAAATTGAGAGGACCAAGCAGCAAAGTAGTTATGGACAATGAGACTCGGCAAAGATGAGGAAAACAAAAGTTCGATCGCAGCACTTTCTAATCGTAATTTTATTTTGATTTAAATTTCAAAACAATCCAGCGACGATCTCTCCAGTACCTTACTTTTGCACCCTAACACTTGAGAAGTTCTAAGATTCCTGCAACATACATCAGTATTTCCACACTATACCTTTTTATACGTAAATATATTAGCATTTAACAGTACGATACATACATTACGCGATATACTCTTGAAATCAATACAAACACAACAAAAATTCACGATATAGGCTTTTGTCTAACATACGTAACGAAGTATTGATTTTTCAAGCCATGGTCGTGTACTCTATGCTTTTTTTTTTTTATAGAATTAACGTCTACTTGTTTAAGAAAAAAAATTGAGACAACAACAGATTATCGTAATTGAGTATCCAACGCGATACGTAATCAATCCTCAAAAGTCATTTGCATGCAATGGCAACTTGTTCTACACACCAGAATACCACGTCACTCGCTATTACATACAAATATGTAAACAAATGGCCTTCCGTATGTTTTTTTAAATAAGAGAACGCGAACAAAACACAAAATCACGACTCAGCTACTCGTAATAAATGCAATTGCTTAGCCGAGGCAACATGGACGCACCTAAATGCGCCATTATGAGCGTCTGTTTCCACGCACCTCGAACGATCCAGAAATGGAGGCTTATCACTACTATCCTTTTCGTTTAAGAACAATAAAAAACTCACCCATACGACAGTCACAAGACGGACGCGAGGCTCGCCCTTGGGGAAAATATTGCGCACCTACAAATGCAGCCCGGCCGTGTTATTTCTTTTTATTTGTATATCAGCTAACATTCGCAGATTGGAAAAAAGGTCAGAGTCCGAGACGATTGTCCGACCGCCGTCCGCAGCCGTCGAAACTCGATTGTAAATATAACAAAATGGCGGCGGCTTCTTGATGCTTATTTTGCTCTTCTGCACCTCCATCCCTCCTTCTTTTTGCTTTTTTATTTGCGCGCGCAGCGCGGCCAGTGACACCTATTTTAAGCGCGCGCTATTTGAATAGCCTACTTTGAGCTTTGAGATTGTTGCTGCTGATTTGAACTAATTTTCTAAAAGATTAAACGTACAAGTCAAATTTTTACCATCACAGATTTTAAAAATAATTTTTTAATCTCTCCCAAGTGATAAGTATTCAAGAACCATGGGTTGCAAACTATTTTTTGCAACTAATTACAAATTTTTTAAACGCACTAAAATCAGGATTATTATTTCAACGTGTTTCAATAATTTAAAATCAGAAGAAAAAAAAAGTTATTAAAATTTATCTACTGTCCGCTGTATACGGGAGTCCGGTCACGACATACTTTGGATTTTATCATTCTGATAAACAGAGCACGGTGTAAGGTATACGTGAAGTTATGTGTAGTAATTATATAATAATCACTACTAAGTAGTGCCATATGGTCGATTTGATTAAACCATAGAAGTAGAATATCTATACTTTTGGAGGTCAATTTTTGGATAAAAGGTAAATTGTGCACTTATCACAAATAGCACAATTTACGTCATCTATATAATAATTTTAGTATATTTACTTGATTAGTTGCGGCTGGTTTATAATCGATTACATATGGCTCTACTGTAAGTAATAATAATTATTTGGATCAGCGCCATCTAGCGGTCGTCATTTTTTCGCCGCAAAAATTGGCTCCTAAGCTCCTATTAGGGGTGTGTTCCAGTAACGCTCTCCGACAACTTATCGACAACTTAATTATGTCTTACGATATCTTGCGTCATGTTTAAGTTGTTGGTAAGTTGTCGGAGAGCGCTACTAGAAGACACGGTAGGAGCCTCCTAAAATTCTGAATCAGAGCTTTAGGGCCTAGAGCCATTTAATCAATTATAAACCAGCCGCAAAAGTTACTGTATGTGTTAAGTTAATATACATATGTATATTGAATAAATCTTTTTTCTACGTAACGAACGTAACGATGTAACAATTGTAAGCTGTACTTAAGTAGATAAAATAGAAACCGTCTGCATTGCAACTTATTGTTTTGTGTGCGCGCTTTTGTGCACTTGTACGTACGTGTGCGTTTGCATGTAGATGTCGTGACTGGGCTGGGCTAAATTTTACTAAAAGTCGATCTCATGCAAATACATATATACAACGTTCAGGTAGGGCTAGGTAACGCAAAAAAACAGCGTCGGTCTCGCTGGCAAGCAGGAGCAGGCTCATTGTAACAACAACAATTTCCGCGCGTTTTTGCATTACTAAAAGTAATCGAAGTTTGAGCGAATAGTGCGTGGGTTTCAGAGCAACGAACTGGACGTTCAAGCCGAGACGAAAATGTCTAACCAGGTGAAAGGCAGTGGTTGGCCCAGGAGGTCCAGTAACAGTTCGTTCGAGGGAAAGTTGCCAGCTAACCCCTCTGTCACCATCAATCGGACGATTAACTTGTGAGTACGGAAGTGCATCTCGCGTTTATGGAGAATGTTGACGATTTTTGTTCACTTAAACATATTATTATTGTGTATTGAAACTCTAATCGTCTTGTTAAAATCGTCTGGGGTTTGTTTATCTAGTATCTAAGGCTAGTTGGGTGAGGTATTTGTGAACAAAAGTGAGGAAACTCCGAAATTTTTGCGGAAAGTTTTCATTTAGGGAGGTTTAGAAAGGACTGTTTGAATACCTGTATGTTATAACTTAGGATTGTAAATTGTAAGCTTGTCTACATTTCCTATTGGGTTGTAATATAGATACTCATGTTTTTTTTAATGTATTGTATCATAATGGTCAATGAATTTTTAGCCAGGCTTGTCGCAAAATATTTCAGCAAACTTTAAATTTTTTGTCAATCTCCAAAAGTATCTGTTTGTTTAAAATTTATATGTACTCGTTTTACCTACGTGACATTGTAATTGTAAAGTGATGTTTTTCTCTTATGTTGATCAAGATTTGATAAAACAATGTACACTAATAGCTCTGCGTAGTCCTATGTAACCAAGCACATTGCATCTTTCTAATTTGTTTATATTTTTATATGGTTTGGAAAAAAATATTTGTTATTAATTATGTTAGTGCTTGGAAAAATTAAAAAAAAAAAATATTTGATGAATTTTTTAAACTTAAAAACTTAACGAATGAAAAAAAACAACTGATTTACTGTAGATATCCTTTGACAAACTATAAATTCGGAACAAAAGAGCCACTGTTTGAAAAGGATCCGTCCGTTCCGGCTCGATTTCAACGTATGAGAGATGAATTTGACAAAATTGGCATGCGCAGAAGTGTTGAAGGAGTTCTGCTTGTCCATGAACACGGATTGCCTCATGTGTTGATGCTTCAACTTGGTACAACTTTCTTCAAACTGTAAGTTCAATGTACTGTTTTCATGTGTTGAACTAAAAAAAAAAAAAATCATACACAAAGGTAATTAAAAAATTTTCTTATTTTTAGACCTGGAGGAGAACTCAATGCTGGAGAAGATGAGGTGGAGGGCCTAAAGAGGCTCTTGACAGAGGTAACAGTCATGTGAAATCTCATGCTACTTATATTGGAGTAGCTAGGAGTTTTTGTATCTCGCAAATCGGTTCATGTGTCTAATTGTTTAAAATAGGAAACTTTTGAATATAATTGCGTTTTCATTTCAGTTCAATGTATACATCTATGTGAATCATTGTAACTAGAACTGTAACGCACTATTAAAAACCAATTAACGTCATTAATTACATGTGTCACACATCGAGACACCTCAATGTTTCCAATCTATAAAAATGTTAATACATAATGGTACACAATTTTACAAGAAACACACAGTTGTTTATGGGTTGAGTTCAATATCTGTAGGCGTCATACATTGATATGTTGTTTCAGTGATCCCATCGTAACCACGTATTATGTAGCTTCTATGCGAAATTTTTTTTCTTCTGTATTGATTTCAAGGAACAAAATTTGTTAAATCTGTAAATCAATGTGTTCTTAAAAAATTATACCTAATTATTTGGAATCATGAAAAAATTCATGTTTAATTATAGATTCTTGGAAGTCAAGATGGTGTAAAACAAGATTGGTTGATAGAAGACACAATTGGAAATTGGTGGAGACCAAATTTTGAACCACCTCAGTATCCTTACATTCCACCACACATAACAAAACCAAAAGAACACAAAAAATTGTTCCTAGTTCAACTGCAAGAAAAAGGTAGATATTTAAAATTTATTAAAAAAAGGAAATATATAGTATGTAACCACTTGTATCAATTTTTTAGCTGTTGTTGCGGTACCAAAGAATTATAAGCTCGTGGCAGCACCTTTGTTTGAATTATATGACAATTCTCAAGGATATGGACCAATAATATCGTCACTTCCACAAGCTCTTTGTAGATTTAATTTTATATACATGTAAAAAAAAATTGTAAAAATTTATTTATTAGGTATAATTACAATCGCATTGAGATTAATTATTGGCAAAAAATCAATTTATTTCTTGGATGTAACAGTTCTCAATAAATCTTTTTTATAAAAAAATTTTTAATTTTATGTTTTCAATCTAACTTCAAAAAATTTTGTTAATTCAAAACTCGTGTCTCACGTGGCATCTCATTTCAACATTCAAAATGGCGTTAATGTGACAGTGAAAACAATACAAGTACTGTGTCTTTATAGCACTGAACTTTAAGTTATATTTCAACATGTGTTCAAGAGATTCTACTGTGATGTATGAGGTACATGATGATTAAAAAAATATTATTTTTAAAATACAGTGGTACTGTTGGTATAAACGTTTATTTTACAGTTGCAAAAAGTTCAAGATGTAATACAACACATTAATCACCGAATTGGTGTACTACAAAAAAAGCTTGCACAAAAATTAGAGATTGAGAATCGAGAGTCATTAGAAATAGAGTTAGAAGATGCCAAAAAAGTATTAAAGAAAAATGAAGAACTATTGAAGAAATTGCGCAAAGATAACACCAAAACTTTTATAATTGTTGCTTGTATAATATTTGCATTATTCTTAATATTTGGCTTGTATAACATAATTTTTAATCCATACTAACGGCATTTTTATAATTATTATATTTTTGTAAGATTATATTTTAATATAACCTCAAAATATTTCTACCAGAGATGTAGATGTCGTGACTGGGCTGGGCTAAGTACAATATTTTTTTTTTTTTTTTTTTTTTTTTTTTTTTTTTTATATTAATTTATTATTTTTTTTACAAAAATTATAAACATATGTGAATGTAATAAACTTTAAAAATATTTATTAATAACACTTATCTTGTAATATTAGATTTGTGCACTTTAAGCTCAAATTATTGATACTTTGTGTCTACATTAAATGCATTTTTGGAATTAGTTGATACAGTTTACATTAATTATGCCAAGAGGTCATATTGAGGGGCTCCTGCTTGACGACTTTGCAAATATTTAACATGTATTTCTGCATCCAGATAACTACCCTTTACTGATTCATCTTCTTGCATAGCTGTTCTCCATTTCAACTGGTAAAAACAATTGAACAGTTTAATTTAAATTCATTATAACTACAAAACGGTAAAATAACTTACCAATCTTGAAAACCTATCTTGAGGAAGAACAAATTCTTTTCCTTTCAAAATCCGTAAGACATCAGCTCTCTCACACCATGGCCAAATCATTAGATCCAGCATGCCAGGCTGGCTACCTCCAAAGAAGGGAGTCCCTCTCTTGTTGAGTTCCCTTTCAAAAATTTCTAAGCCTTTCAGAACTTCATCAAATAGGTCTTTGTTGACAGTTTTATCTATTAATAACTACAGTAACCATAAAAATTCATCAAGTGTATCACAAATAATATACATTGAGTCATCATATTGTACAGATAGTTACTTTGTACATAGAAGTGATGAAATCATTAAATCTTTCTGTCAGCAGTTTATCTTTAGCCTTGGTCAATGGATTTGTAGGTAGCAAGCGATGTTCAGGATAAGCCTCGTCCAAATACTCAGCAATTATCAAACTTTCATAGAGAGTATCTCCGTTTTCAAACTCAATACAGGGCACCTTGCCTAGTGGGCTCTTTTCCTGCAGCCACTCTGGCTTTTGACTCAAATTGACATAAACCACGTCATAACTGATTTAAAAAGAAAAAATAAATAAATAAAACACTTTTCGTTGTGTCAGTAAAAATAAGAACATTATTTATGCATAAAAAAAAAAAAATATCAAACAAATAATCAGCATTGAAAAAGGCGGAAAAAACTTTTTGTACTCATCAACTGTTTGAAAAGTAAATCCTGATGCATTGGAGCAACCCGGTAGAGGCAATAAAGTTTTTATCAAGGACTTTTTTTATTACATTGTAATATACACATGTATGAAACCACGCCGTAATGTTTATCTCAATGAAACTTACGAAATTTTCTTGGCATCAAGGACGAGGTGGATCCTTTGAGCATATGGACAAAAACGCATACTGTAGAGCCGGAGTTTTCCTTTCTCCAAAGGCGGTGCCTTTGAGCCTGTGGCATGGACAAGTATGAAAAGTTGATATGTTATTAATTTATCGCGTAAATAAACATAATCTTTATCCGTGCGGCATGTAACAAATATCAAACTATTCTTGCATATTACTCAAAACTCTTTGAGACTTACCTACTGTCAAGTGTTTACTACTGCCCATATTTGATTGTACTAATACGACTGATGTTTTTTTTTTTTTTTTTATTTAAAAAAAACAAGTGAAGATGACAGATGAGCTTCGAAGTTGAACAATGAAAAAAAAACTGCTCTGATTATTTTGACTCTCGTTGGTTTATTTCGTTGGAAACCTCAGTTATATTAGCGACTCTAATTTGTGCATAACACGCTTGTCGAAATTTTGTTGTTGACGGTTTCCTTTTTTTATAAGTAATAATATAAATATGTGCCCCTCTATGCGACCTGCGACGTATAGTCGGTGGTCGGTATCGGTAGTCGGCGTTTACATACACAAACACAAACTCGGTACCTACATATACATATATTTAAGTTAAAAGGGTTAGGTGTATTACAAAAACGATATCAGTTAGGTTGAGTCTGCATTTTTTTGTCTCTCGAAGCATCATGATTGCAATTTTTTGCGCATTAATTGTTGTTTATATTTTTCATAAGAGTATTAATTATTTGTAAGATTATATACATTGTGTTCCATTAATAATCAGTATACATATATGTTTCTTAATTTCAAATGTTTTAATTAGATTTTTTTATTGTTACGGCAAAATATAACATACATCAACTGAGTTTTAAATTATTGATTATTGTAATAATATCTTATACTACTTTGGAGGTACGTAGAGTCATGAGAAATAAATTTTTTTTATTGAAAACATACGTCAGTGATTTTTCATTCAAAGAATTACTTTTTTTTCGCTTATTATATGGGTAAGTCCTAATATGATATATATCTCTCTTCATGATTATTTACTGATAATACGTCCTTTGTTTCATCGCAAAACGCAATTGTCTTCATAAAATTTAAGTATTTAATATTACTGAGAAAAGCACAATACAATACTTACCGTTACCGGTACTCATGTATTATTTTCACCGGTACTTCCATTCGAATCATTAATATCTAATAAACAACATTAATTGGAGCACCGATAGAGGTAAAAGTGTTAATTAAATTAAAAAACACTGAAACATCTTTATCTTTGACTAAAATTAAGTGCAATATTTTTATCGTTGATCGAATAAAGACGTATTTATTTTTCAACTCTTTGAACTTATTGAAACGCCTGGAATTTTAAATCTTTTAAATGTTTTTTTCTCTTAATTAAAACTCAACATGCCTAACACGATTGAAATAAAATTAAAAAAATTCGTTTCTCGAATCAAAGAGCTGCGCTCTTGGTAACCATATAGTCGCTTGAAATTCCAAAAGTCCACCCTGAAAATGCTTACGAACAGTTGGAACAGTAGAAACAGCAAGGTACGTGTATACTCTTATGGTAGAAAATTCATTGTAACCAACAGTCAAGGTAGCACGTAAATAAAATTCTACTACTCGATCGTGTTTGTAAATGAAAAATTTTTACTTACTTAAATTTTATTTTATTTTTTTTCTCTGTAAAACAGTGTAATTTTTGATTTAATATACATAAGTACACACGTACCATACAATGAAATGACTTGCAACTAAATTGTGTACTACAAAAAGAAAATTTTTTTTTTATATTATAAAACAGGGTGTAAGTAATTTCTACTTATAATAGTAGTCGCTCGAAATTACAGTTTTTAGATGAATAGAAAATGTAAAAAAAAAAAAAAAAAAAAACTTGCTGTAAGGGGGTGAAAGGAGTGTTGGTAATAAACTCACCAGAATAAGAAAGTTTCAAAGCAATAAACAACGTCAGCACTTTTTTCATCTCCAATATTCAACAAGTCGGATCGCTATTTTGTCGTATGCATAAAAAAAAAATCAGGTAAAAAAAGCACCCTCCAGCCGAAATGTTTGCTTTTCATAAATTAAAATATATACCTCATCAATGTAAAGATTCACAGTAAAACCAAACGTAAGATTGGGGAGATCAATTTAACCGCCAGACTGATCCACAATTACCCGTAAAATTCGGGCACAGACGAAAATCCAGTGCTTGCAAGCTCATCGCGTTTTCCCACCAAAAATAATTAATCCATCAAAAAGTATACAATGACCACGACACACCACATATCTCAAACATCTTCCCGCGTGAACGAATACACACGCGATCACCCTTTTCACCCCTTGCTGCGCATAAAGCGTACCAATAAATCCAGCCCTTGCATGAAAAAAAAAAAAAAAAAAAAAAACCCTAAACCAAGTAGGCCCTCCAGATAACGAATCTCGTCGCGGGTCGTCGCTTTCGCGCAAATGGGTTACACATAGAGTCTTTACCCACACCACGAACGGAAAAGAAGGAGCGAACCGAAGGAAGGAAGGAAAAAACAAAGGGGTCGTGTGTGGCGTTAAGTAGTAGAGGCACGGCAATATGGCGCGAGCCGGGGAAAAGAGGGTAGCCGGGGCAGGTGAAGAACCAAAACACCAAAGGAAGGAAGGAAGGACGGAAGGAAGGAAGGAAGGAAGGAAGGAAGGAAGGATAAGATATACACACAGGCGTCGGCGGCAGCGCTCGTTTCGCTTCTGCGCTGGAGGGAGGGCACGAAAGCAAAGAGAGGGTGGGGAGAGCTTGCAGAGCTTTGTGCTTTGCTCGCAGGGAGGGCGATCGGCGCTGATTGGCCCCGTCATCGATTAGCCCCCGCGGCTAGCCGAGCTTTACTCTTCTCTCCGGTGCCGCTCACCCGCGCGCCTGTCACAATAAATACAACGAAAACAAGACCTCGGTCTCCCAATCGCGGCTTTGAGCTTTTCTTTTTTTTTTTTTTTTTTTTTTTTTTTTTTTTCTATACCGTGTCCGGCTGTTCGACGCGACGTATGTATACCTATACGTTTTATTTCCACCGCTTCGGAGTGACACGATATTGCTTTGCCTGTATACTTTTGGCTTCGATTTTTCACTTTTCTGTAACCCCTTCAGCTTTTACTTTTATTTCATCGTTCCACTTTGAATCGAACAATTTGGAGCCAGAAAGCTCCTCTGCCTTTTAAAAATAACGTTAGTGCCATCGAATTGAAGCATACATATTATGTAGACTATAACTTTCGGAGGAATAACCAATAAGCCAAAAGCATTTCGCAACGAAAAAAGTTGTTTCTCTCTCTCCCCCGTGCTCATTAGAGATCGGGAGAAACTGGCCCTCGTCGACTCTCACAAAGCCCTTTCTCGAGTTAGGCGTGTATAGGTGGCCGCACACGGATCGGATTTCCCCGGAGGGGATTTTCCCGTAAGCTCCGCCTTGTTTGGGGCTCGGCGTCGCGCCGGGCGCCATTCGGTATCCCGTGGCAACGCTGGTTCCCGGCCGCCAATCCCCGAAGCCCCCACACCTCTTTCTCCGCGTTGCGTTATACACCGTCTCCTCCCCGTGCGTGCATCCGAGCTTTTGCGAGTACATAATATTATATATACGTATAGGTGCAAGCTCTCGTTGCCGTTTTTCCTCGGAAGTCTTTCGTTTGCGTTGCGCTTGCTTTTCCTCTCCCGATTTTCCCGGGATATTAAGGCAGCAACGGAGTAAGTAGAAATGAAACTACTTTTCTCTCGCAATTTCACAACAGAGTGACTCGAACTCACAGGTACATCGTCACATCCACGCAGGACATTTATGTGTCTTTGCTACTTGGATTTACGGTTATAAGACAATAAACTGTTGCAAGAGGATACAAAAAAAGAAGAAATTTCATCATCTCATTTTGTTTCAGCGAATACTGGAATGCTCCGTACAAAGGATATAATATACTCGTTTTATATTAACAAGGACATTGGTGATTAAGTGAATGACTGTAGTCAGTGCATTATACTGTTGAATTCAAGGAGGGTCCAAGGGAAAGTGTGTAATTATTCACTTGTCTATATAGGTAATGATAAGAGTTTTATTGTGTCTTGGATGATCCGTGAAAATTCGTTGGATTAAAAAAGTAAAGGAAGGAAAACATGTTACATGATTTGAAGAGTTGAAGAAAACGAGACGATTCATTTGAACTGAAATTTTATTTATGAACGATGAATCACATTTATTTCATATTAATATGGACACTATTAAGATATACGAACATGGTATCATCGCGATGACGAATAATTCGCCATTTCTGTTCCAACAATGACACAACGTCTTTGGAATGATATCTTTGGGTAATTTTTTTTAAATGTCTTTTTATCGCTCAAGGAGATTCAGTATATCTCGACAGAGTTAAAAACGCAATCATTATTTACAACAAATACATTTTTCTTTCTTTTTTTTCCCTTTTTTTAAATTATATTCATGTCTTTTATACCTATGCTAGACTCCATGTTGCTTCTCGATTTTTCATTACATGATAAATCGATCCCAAAGTACGTAATTATTGCTAATCGCGCGTTACATTCACAAAAAGTATTTTCATCTTCTCCCCATCGCGAACTTACATTTATAATCATACACATGTTTATCGATGGAAAACAACAGAACAAAGAATAAAAACTCATTGTTTTATACACCGAAACGAGAGTAAAATGAAAATGTATACGTAAACATTCGTAGATGATTTTAATGGATTTCGCTTCCTTCGCAATTACACGGGTATTCTCTTTGGTATGAATAACGTGTTTAATTTATTTATTTTTATTGTTGTTAAAAAAAAAAAAAAAAAAAAAATCAATCACTCGCACAGCCATTTATACACGCCGAACAAAGACTAGATCCTCTAAACGCAGCTATATATACGCTACACATAAAAACACCCTATCTACATTCGGTATGCCGATCTCGCCCTCGCGGCCTTGGACGGCTTTTCTGCTTGACTTTTTTTTCTTCCTATTTTTTTTTTTTTTTTTTTTTTTTTTTTTTTTTTTTTTTTTTTTTTTTTTTTTTTTTTTTTNTTTTCAATTTTTTTTTTTTTTTTTTTTTTTTTTTTCTTTTTTTTTTTTTTTTTTTTTTTTTTTTACTCCAAAAGCATACCAGAGCAACACAAATAATACAGTTCAGAGATAAATGTGTATATGAGAGCGTCGTTATTAATCTCCTGTTGGTCCAATACCGCGAAGTCAAAGAGGCGATTATCTAACCGATAATACAATACAGTTTATTCTAATAATGCTTAGGTCTTGGGTGTTTTGTTATATAATACAGCATACGACTTAGGAATTACACGACATATCGTATTATGTACGCGACGATCGCCATCGAAAGAGATACGTCGCAATTATTTACTCGGGACTTGGGGAATGTTTACGTGATGATGTTTTTTTTTAATCATTATTATCGACATTATCGAAGGAAACTTGCACGATACCTACATCATCTGATCGATCTACAATAATAGTTTATTTTTTTTTTATTTTTTTTTTTTCTTCGTTATATATATAATTTTTTTTCCATTTGGTTTATTAATCGTTACATACATATAATATATATGTATATTACACGTTCCTTGCACTTTGTGTTGCTCGAATTGATTTTTTTTGGTTACAATAAGCTGCTCCTGGCGCGCTTTTTATTTACCATTATTATTTTTTCTTCTTCTTTATGATATACATAACAATTAATCATCGTTACAAAGGAGTTTGAAGTGATTTCCATCGACGAGCGTCGGATACAGCTATTTTTGTGTTTCGATTGCGCAAAGGACAAAATAATTAACCGTGCGACCACGGAGTGCGTATTTTCACACGATATGGTTAAATATTGTAATTTTTGCTCGTTATCTCTTGAAAAAAAACAAAAAAAAAAAAAAAAACCTTTCAGGTACCTTGGATGAAATTACACATGATACACGTGAAGTACAATCCGACGCCCGTCCGATCGATCATGCATATACATTTATAATATAATATAATATATATATACTTACCGGCATGTATATCACTCGATACGCGCTTAATATTTATTTTTTCCTCGCTACAATACAATATATGTATTTATTTACAACGTGTTAAACACACATACATACACTCGTACATCCAATGTATTGTTATTATTCCGTGTCTCCCTGTGTTCTTCTCTCCGTTATACATGACATCTGTATAGGTGCAAAGGGATTCCTCGTATATCCGGTATATATATATATAAATACACACATTATACAAGAAGGAGGAGAAGAAACGTCGTTTCAGGTGTACATTAACTGCAATCACTTTAGCGTCCAATGGTTCGTATATTATAAATTCGTATCACTTATGGCACACGCAGAACATATCTCAAGTGGGACAGGGGGTTGTAGGGTTTGCACGCGCTCGTATAACAATTATGTACATGCACATGGGAGTCGGGGGGGGGTGGGGGGAGTAAATTAACGCGGCGAAAGTCAGTTGGACCGTTCGGATGAGTGTGAGTGGGAACAATTGATATGGGGTCAGTATTGCCTTGATCACTGAGGGCGTCATCGGCCGTCAAGGTTTCCTCGGCGCTAAAAAATCCATCACGAGCCTTCCTCCTCGACAACGCGTTGGTGTCAGCCATGGTAAGCCTTGGAAATAATACAAGAAACAAAAGGAGGGTGAGAGGGGGAAAAGACAAGAGCCTCGTTCGTTCAGCGAGGAGTTCCGAGAGCGCCCCAGTGCTCGGCGCTGGGTCATGCGTAGTGGGGGTAGCTGCCGAGGTGGGGCGGCACGTGTCCGGTGGCCGTGTGGTGTCCGGCGTAGAGGTTGGCTCCGGGGCTCGTGGACCAGTAGCTCGAGGCAGACTGAAACAGGCCACCCGGAACGGAGACGGACACCGAGGCTGCCGGCGGTGGCATGAGGTTGAGCTTGGCGTGCCCGTAACCGGACATGAACAGCTCGCTCTGGTACTTGTAGGCAGCGGGGTCGGCGGCAGCCGGTTGCGTTGCCGCCGCCAAGCCCTGGAAGTCGAACTTGTACGCGTACCTCTTCCCGTGCACCTTTGTCATTATGTTTTTGTCGTAGTAGTACCTGCAATTTCGTCATTCATTTTCAATTTTTTTTTTTTTTTTTTTTTTTTCTTCTTCTTCCCTCCCATAACTGTGGGTTTTTTCAATGTTTCGTCTGACCTAAACGGCGTATTACTACTTCGGTTCTCATAGTATCGCGTTTTTCCTCCTACGTGTACAAATTTCAAATTGGAATAATCCTATTAAGTATTTCAAAGTTCTTGATGTGCAACCAGTTGACAAAGTGCAAATATTTCACTCGTAATTGTACAATATTACTTTTTTTACTGAAAAAAAAAGGAATATCGCAAAAAGTCACTTTACGTTACTTCTTTGCTTATTTCATTTGTTATAAATTTCTTTTACTATTCAAACATTTAGTATTTTAAAAAATACTAATCTACACGAAAAAATTATAAATGACCTCTATTTCATTGTTATTTTTTTTTACTGTTATACATTTCACCCTCTTCGGTACGGTACACTTTTAACTATTTCTATCACTTCTCTATACACCAAGAGAAAGAAAAAAATAATGAAAATGACTGTGCTACAATGGTAATCTGGTACTGTTCAATCGTCTAGAGATTTTTGCTATTTAAACAATAATTTTTATCGTAAGTACACAATGACTCTTACTGTTAGCGCAATAGAATTTACTGTCCAGAAAGGCATAAATTATTAAATTGCCAAAAGTAAAAAGTATACCTGGACCCTAGATTTTACCATTCTAGCACAGTAATTTTTATCATGTTTTTTTCTTTCTCTCTCAGTTAAGTTATATTTTCACAAACTTTGACGAATAGTGATGATTTTTGCAATTTGAAATTCGTAGCCACAAGTTGACATCTCCTTGATTACCGCGACCAGAAATCGTACGTCAAAATCCCGCGTCCCCACCGGGGCAAGCAGAATCGTCTCGTTTATTAGTTTGTCGGTGGGAACTCGATAACCCCGACAGCGCGCGGATTCTCTCCGACTGTCTCGCAATTTTTCGAGCGCACCGTTTCACGGACTCGCATCGGGTCGGGCAAAAGAGCGATTATCGGCGGGTCGACCGATGCAAGAGAGAGGGAGAGAGACAGAAGTCGATAACGTAATCAGGGAATCTGATCGAAAAATAATAGACGCGCCTCCGTTTCCTCTCTCTCCCCCACTCGGCTGATTGAAATTTCTATCTCTCTCTCTGCACCAGTCCGTGTATGGATTCCCCTTCCTTCCAGCAGCGAGGAGTCACCCCCGTGAAAACTGCTCTTTCCATTACTACACTCCCGCTTCTCGGCTCGACCCTCTTTTATTTTTGCTCTCTCTCTCGTTCCTCCCACCGACATTTAACGAGTCATTTTCCCTTTTTTTTTCCTTTTCCTGTTCCATGCTTGCTTTTAAAAAAAAAAAATGCCGTTTTTGTTTCCATCCATCGGAAAAAACGAATCGAGACCCTCCCGCGAACCACCCAACTGAATTTGCAATTATCCTGCCTCTACCGTAATATCCCATTTTTGAACAAATCTCTAGAGATAAATGAAAAAGGTATAGGTGCGTACACTCACCTCAGGGCCCTGGACAATTTGTCGTAGTTCATGTTGGGCTTGGACTTGCGCTCGCCCCACCGCCTCGCCACTTCGTCCGGATCGGTCAGCTTGAACTCACCGTTCGTGCCCTCCCACGTGATGCAGGCCGCGTTGCTCGAGTCCGACAGCAGCTCGAGTAAAAATTGCCAGAGCTGGATTTGCCCGGAACCCGAGCTTGCCAGTCTACTGCTCGTTGCCCCGAACATCTGATATGGATCTGCAACGGGAACATTTTTTTTCATTTTACCAAACGAAATAACTTTTGGTAAATTTTTTTTTTTTTTTTTCTCTTTTCTATACGAATAGACCGTTTGGTATATACGCTGTGGATAAAAAGAATAACAATAGTAAGCTCCGAATCTAATGGGGTCATGTCGTTAGTGTTTTTACGGTTCACAAGGTGTTGGAAAAATACCTCATTATATAGATAAAAGTTATTATTGTATGCTCCGTAAAATCATTGCAGGTCATGTACGAAATATTGCGATGTAAAATTAAAAAAAAAAAGATGAAATCACTCCAAACGCGATACTCGTTCTTACGTATATATTAGTCGAAGGGAAGCTCGCACGGGGATCATCCATATCCTGCAGATCCGCGACAAAAGTGAACTAATTCAGCTCGGCACTCGAGCAGTGGAAAATTAGCAGCGATGGATCGCAGACACAGTTTTAACGGTGTATACATGTACGTATATATATATATANCACTTTGAAAAAATAAATTACTTTTCACAACAAATGTGATCCAAACTATCCGTCATTGAATAAATAATCTTGGATCGAGTAAGACAACAACAAAAATCCTAGCTAACTCACCCGATACCATATAGTTGATTCAAACGGAAAAAAAAAAAAAAAAAAAAAAAAGAAAAAAGAAGGTACAGGGCTCGAAAATTATTGCGATCCAAACGAACCTCTATTCTATTGTGGTAACGGCGGGAGGGGGAGAGAGAGCTGTGGTTATATCCTTTGTGCTAGTGAGCGAGAGGACACTCCAAGAGAGAGAGAGAGAGAAACGAGTCTAGCTGCGACGGCGGTGATGACGCATTGTAAAGCCTTTTAAGGGTGCAGGGACTGCACGGCGTTGAGGGAGCTTGGCGCTCGGTGCTGTACACTTTTGTGGGGCACGTCAGAGTTGCACTGGATAAAGAGAAAGAGGTGGAAGGGTGCGGGGGGTTCGTGTTTGTGGGGCCTGATGATTCCGGAGAAAGTTTTTTACTGATGCTTTTTTTTCAAGACAAGAAGGTAAAGTCACACGAGACAGAGAGGCCAAGTTGGTATGTAGCGATTATGAGAGCTTTCAGAGCTACATGTGGCTCAGCTTACAGCGCGATGAGTGATCTTACCGATGATGTATAATATTATCGACGTTTAAAAATACAATATTTTGCACTAATTTTTCATCTCCAGTCTATTCATAAATGAACATTCATTTTATTTTAATGGCTTGTATTATCCACAGGTTTATTTTCTTATTGTCGACGGTGTTTTTTTTTTATCAACCGCATTTGCTTCATGACAATTTCAATACAACGAACAATTAAGCAGATTCTTGTACAATAACTTGTACGTGGGGCGTAATAGGCTGAATATTTTTAACAATGAATATTCATTGAGATAGTGGTGAGTAATTTTTATAGTGTAATAACTTTTGTGAAATTAAAATGCTTTAACATTTCAGAAATTCACGTGATATGAAAAAGATGTTTTTTTTTTTTTTTTTTTTTTTTTCAAAGTAACTGAAAACATAAATTAAATTATTTTACTCTTTGGCAAGTATGGCAGAGAAAAGGATTTGTCAATTAACAGTATTGGGTTTAAATGTTTAACATATCTCAATAAATTTTTATTTAAAAACTGTTTTCACCTACTACATGTTTTTTCGAAAAAAAGAATTCTCTTTCCTTTTTTTCAATTACCGTGAGTCAATTGTGGCCTCAAATTTTTATAATTTTAAATCATACCTAGCAAATGCTTTCGTAGAGTTCAACATCTTAGTAATTCAACGTCCAACGTATTGAAAATATTTAGAGTTTTTAACTCCTTACTAAAATTCATTGATTTTTGTGGAATATTTTCGTCGATTGTTAAGTAGTAAAAAAAAAAAAAAAAACATAACGAATTATTGACCATGTTTCCACGCTGATGACAATTTTCAGTACATTAGCTCTAAAACAGTAGCGGGTGGGTCGCTGTCTGGCGGATCCTCTCGTATCGTTATGATTCAGATGTAAAGGACTCGTAAAAAAGGGTCATCATTTGGGGGCTTTTTACGCTGGCTCTCGGATAAATGGGCCGTTGCGGCAAAAAAAAAGGGACGTCCTGGAAGGGGAAGAAAAACTCGAAAGGGGAAGAAGCTCCGAAATCAGCGGCAATTCGCCAGAGAAGCACATTTCCGAGCGATTATGATTGCTAGCAGATGAGAAGTGGGAGGACGAGTGCAATCTTTCTATTTCATTTTTCCTCCGTACACTTTTTTTTTTCTTAGTACATACATTTTTTTTTTACCTTTCTCGATTATTTTGATACTGTGCAGTTGTTTGGAAAAATTGGTTTTACAACGAGGTATAACGTACCATTATTTTGTTGTTTTTCCAAAATGGCCCATATTTTGTTGTTGTTGCTTATTTACATTTGAATCGAAGTAATTATACGAGTAAAGTAATCTCGTTTTTCATACCATTTTAAATGGCACGGAATTGAGCTGTCCGCGTTAGTAAGATGTGACTCGGAGAGACTTCGTTTACACCGAGCGTTTGAGTCACGCGTTAATTATGCCAAATTGCCCGATTTGGGTTGAATGATGAAAATAAAAAAAAAAGCAAGAAAACCGTTGTTAAGACCAAAATACTCTTATTTCCGCGGCCGTTGTAGTACAACGTTTATAAAAACAAGACAACGGAGCGCGTACCGGGACTCTGCTCATTTTGCCTTGACTCTGATGGCCACCACCGCACACCCACCAGTTATCTACCGAACATACGCGAAACCCCGGACCTAAAAGGTCGCGTTGCTCTCCCCCGCTTGCATGAATGCTTTTGCTGGCTCTGCTGCTATCACCACCCCCCCCCCCCACAACCCAGTGATCGGCCGTCGATCGAACGGTAATTCACTTGCAAGTTAATAGAGCGAGGAAGAGAGGAGGGATGGGAGGTGCGCCTGTTTATCTGACAACTCGAGCGCGCGACGACGGAGCCGATGAGCTGAAATTTTGAAAATACATACTCTTGCAAGTTTTTAACTATATCCATGCCCATGTATAATTTACAAAGTTGGTTCTCGCTTCGACGAACCAATGGTACATATGTATATTTATTGGCGATCGATGTAAAACTCGGCGATTGTATGGAGTCGATTTTTTAAATTGCTCACATGTCAATAGGTGTATGACGGTTGTACATCAATCGAGGGGGCGATTTTTAGGCGTGGCGAGGATACAATGGCAAGCAAGCGTCGAAGGAGGAATCGATGCGGGAGTGAAGGGTCGATTATATACCTACATCGGGGGGGGGGGAAGCAGGCGTGCATGTACGTAATCGTCAGAATTTGAGTTTGCGGCCGTCCTCTGTACGCAATCGCGTGTAGGTGTGTGTGGGTGCTACTCCAGCACGATCGTCACGTTTCATTACACGTGTAAGTAGTGGGAGGGGGCGATACGATTTTTACGAGCGTTCGTAGAAATGCTGGGTGTAAAAGCCCGATGATCGATGTGCTTTTGACTGGCAATTATTTTATGTTTTTTGGGAAAGACCGAGTACTCGCTATAGAAACACGCAATAGAAACAGCTGCTATTCAACTGTAGGGGTTATCAACGAACTATATACACTTATACGTGACTTGCGTAAGTTATAGAATTACGCATCAAAGGTGAAAGGAGGTTTTAAAAATATACGCGTGTAATACGTGTGTCATACGTACCAGGCTGCCTGAGATGTGAATGCGAGTCCAGTGCTGATTTCGACAGACTACCACTGTATCCTGCAACAAAAAACAAAATTATTAAAAAACACTATTATTTCGATATACCTCTTTGTGTCTGTGTATGTGTGTATACCAGGAAACATTATGAATGGCTGTAAAGAAATTTTTCTTTTAAGTATAGAGTGGTTTAAAGGAGCAAGAACCGAATTCATGAGAGACCGCCTCCTGGAACTGCAGTTGTCAGTGTAACGAAAAAATGAGATAAACAAGGGGACGGAAAAAAAAGTATATACTCTTGGAACAGGAAGCTCCCCCCCCCCCTTCCAAAAGATGATTTGTACTTGGTATCACTTTCCTTGTTATTAAATTGCAAAGGAAAAACAAAAACCAAAGGTTTAAGCTCAGTATTTTACACGACTTGGCGATTTATTCAACGCTTGAATATCGTCATCAAATCGGTATTTGTTAAAAAACATTCATATCTACGTATAGTGTTTTTTTATTGCGATACGTTGTCTTGGACTTAAAAAATGTGCGTTTTATAAACACATCGCATCTATATATACACATGAATTATAAGCTTCATTATAGATTCTCAAAAATGTTTTCACACAAGTAGAAAAAGATGACGAATGGTCAGACACACCTGCGCAATGTTCGTTCTCTCAAGTACTCTTGTTTCTCCTACGTATACCCCTGGCAAACTATATGTATCCAATAAACAGTACAACACAGGCATGAAATACTCTGCAGAGGCAAAAAAAAGAAAAGAAGACAGTGGTCCAAACACACGCAGTGGTGGGTGTGAAAATTGAGCGCGGACTCCCTCTCGTCAAAGCTCGGAGTAGAGTAAAATCTACGATTTCAGGCAAAAGGTCGAAAAGAGTCAGAGCCAAGAAAGAAAGAAAGAAAAAAAGTCCAAGTGTACCCGACTCATGCAAGTCACAATTGTCGCGCGCTCTCTCGCGCCCAAAGAGCCGTGTGTAAGAGTCACTGGTGCGGAATGGCGCCTCCTTTGATCTCTCTCTTTTCTCTGGGATATACCTACTCTTGGCGTAACGGGATTACGCCACCCCCCCCAAGTAATTGCTCGTGAATTTCCCGCGCATGCACGTACTGTTTCGGTGACAATACAACTATACGCAGCCCATACGTGCAACGCGTGTGCTTGGTGATACATAAGATAAAATATTAGTGTAAAATAGTATCGGATGCTTATTGTTTGAAAAAAAAAAAAAAAAAGGTACAAAAGACCCTTTGTTGTCTTGTGCGAGTAACATTTGCAAAAGCGCCGGTAGCTCGTCAGTGTTGATCAAACACCGACTACCCAAAGGAGGGAGGAGGCGAAAATTTCCTCAAAGCTGAAGGAAAAAAAAAAAGACAAGCAGACAGCCGAAGGAAAATCACGGAGAAATCTTCCGAGAGAAGAATAAGGCAGCAACAAAGGGCCAGCCGAGCAGAGAGAGAGAGAGAGGCGCAAAATAAACCCCGCGGCTACGCTGATTGCGGCGGACCCCCGACTACGACCATCTCCCGATATCTCCCCGAATTCCGTGCGTACAGCGCCCTTTTCTTTCTCTCTCTCTCTCTCTGCTCCCTACGCCCCCGACAACCCCGTGTACCCTTCGCTCGCTTGTCCTTTTGCTCCCAATCAGCCGCGGCAAATCGAATTGTTTAACATAGCGAACACCAACTGCTACTTAAGCTCGGCATCTGTTGGAACTCTCTGACTCTTTTCTTTCTTTCTTTTTTTTTTTTTTTCTTTTTTCTTTCTTTTTCTTTTTTGGAGGGTTTCTCGGGTACAACCCCCTCTTTGGATCAGAGCGCGCGAGACAATTGGTTTTGCGAGCAAAGCTAGCTCGTTTTCTTATAAAAATCAGATCTGCCGAAAACTTGCAGGGTCAAGGGAGAATCACCCAAAATTATCTCATCTCCGAGTGCCAAGCTCGTGAAATGTTAATTTCTCCGATTGTTTTTCGTGTCGAATCAAAACCCGATAAATCATCGATCGTTCGGTAAACGGCACAATTTCAATCGAATTAAAATCACGGTACAACATGTGTGTACCATACACCTCGACAAATCCATCACCCTCTCGTTAACTAAAATCACGGGCTTTCGTGTGCGTGCACTATATATATATGTATATTTGTATCCCCCGACCCCCAAGTTTGAAGGGAACCACCGACCAGTGCGAGCCCCGAGCACTTAATAGTTTTAAAGCGGCGGTGAAAAAAGGTGCAAGGAAAGTAAGTATAAAAAAAGAGAGCCCAGCTATGAAATGAACATTGAAGTGAGGGCCGGCCGCCGTCGCCCGAGCACAAAGCCAACTGTAATTGAGCCATTAGATCGATAAGTTATTATAACAGCGCACGCGCCGCTCTCTCTCTCTCTCTCTCTCTCTCACATAATATGTTATACCTTGCGACACACACGCGCGTATTGAAATAAATGCTGTGTGTATTTGTACGCGTATACATGGGTGTGGAGGGGTACGTGTACCCTTCGCTTTTCACGCTCTACCTGCGAGGCGAACTGACGCCGGGCGCGTGTACTCTATTGTTTTTACGAGTCGGCACGTGCGCCGGCCGAATTTGCCCTCTTGAGAAAAAGAGAGACAGAAAGTGTGTGCACGTTGCAATGGATGGAGTCCGAAAGCCAAAAAAGGGGACCCGCTGGCGTGACGGGGATCGAGGAGGTCCCAAAGTATATAGCCTATATAGGCCCGGGTTTTCAACCACTGCAAGTATGTATGTATACTCCCGTCCAACAACTCCGGAAACGAGGGAATTTCTGAGGCCGCCTGCTTGAATCATATTTTATATTTTGAAGTTTATTATAATTTCGAAAAAAAGAAAGTTTGTAAGTACTTATCGCTAAAACGATAATTTGCATTTGAATGTATAAATTATGGTGTTAAGAAAACAAGAAATGTCAAGCTTTTACGGATAAGTTAAAAAAAATCGACACGAATCAATCACGTGTTTGGCTATACAATGTGTCATTTACAGTATTGACTTATGCATGCCAATCTTTAAATAGAATTACGATTGAACAGCTTGTATCGATAATCACCACAAATCTATTCCTTGTGCTGTTTGAATTTCACTTATACTGGTTAGGGCGAGACTCTCATCGCGCGATGAAAACTTTCCAATGAACAAGTACCTATATATTTGACAAAAACCGCAGCTGTTAATAAAGTTGCTAATCAAACGGATAGCAAGTATATACTTACACGTAAAGTGATGTAAAATGAGTTCAAAGTCGAAAATAAACACCTTCTTGGTTGTCCTTTTCATAATAAATATGCTCGTAAGCAGCAGTAAGAATTTTTTTTTGTACATAAAACTTTAGATAAAATGTGTTTCAAAAGAGATAAAGATGCTAATACATTATTTCATCTTTGTGGCTAATTTTAAATATGTTTTTCCAACATAAATTGCGATTTAGTAGTTATTAAAAATTCAAGTCAAGAGTAGGCACATACATTCCTCGATACACTTATTCTACATAAAAGTTACTTTATTTAAAAAACACAGTAAAACAAGCCACCCATTATGATGACGCTTTCAAAAATGTTTCATCAATCATGTGTGTATCTAATAATTTATTATAAATAGTATTATCTTATACAAACGCATTTTAAACAATGTATTCAAGTTGAATAATATCGACCGATTTATTTCAACTAATTTCGTAAAATAAATTGCATCAGATGATTTCTTTCAAAAAATATGATCAGTCTATTTAAATAAAATGTTTATATTTAAAATCAATATCTTCCAAAACGAAAATATCAAGCAATTCGTTAAATTTATGAAAATCAATCGTATTTAAATATAATAATCAATAAACAGCTACATAAAAATGTATAATTAAATCTCAAATTAATTAATTAATTAATGTTTATGAAACTTGGTACATCTCTGATTACAGCATTGTCCAAAAGCTGTCCCGTCATGGAGTACCGAAAATGTGATAACCGCTGCCTATTTGCTATCACAATAAAAACTTATTGCGAATTAATTTATGTTGTTGATGTACAAGCTTGGGGAAATATATTGCGTTATAAGCCACAATACTCGTGTAGGATATACTGATTAGTTTTATAAATATGTTAGGATTAACTAAACTTTGCAAACATATTTCAATACAAATTGATAAGACAATAAGATAGTTGTATCTTAATTTTCTCAATCATCATAGGTATATTAATTTTTTTCCACAACATGTATGGTGAAGGCATTTTATGCAAACAAGTTCTGTAGTTCAAGGTAGTTAAAAAAATATATATCACTGTGACGTACATATTTATGTGAATTATATAGATAAAAACGTTTACTATGATTTTTACTGATTGTCATAAGTTAATATTTACTTACACCATCCTTAAATCGATATAGAAATTGATTAATTTGCAGAAATATTTTTTATCATTTCCTATACTATTTTAAAAATGAGCTCTGCAATTTTTACTTATATTTACTACTGAATAACTAATTGACCATATTTAAAAAAATTAAGTCAATATCGACTTTCGAGGCCAGATTATTCGTTTTTTAATAGAACTGCGAGCGGACGTTATTTATTCCTTAATGTCGTCTCATGATTTCTATGATCATCAATAATACACTAATTTTTTCCTACAACATGGCTTGCGAAGGAATTTTATGAACAAGTCCTGTAGTTTGAAGTTGTTAAAAATTTGTGTTACTGTGATGTATGTACATAATTGTATAATGTAAATTAGCTGGCGAAAACGTGTACTATGATTTTTGTTGATTATCATTAGTCTATATTTAATTGTAGCATCAATACATCGGTATGGAAATTAATTACTTTACAGAAATATTTTTTATTCTATATTAATATCCTTTTTTATGTTAACTCAGATTATACTATTTCAAAAATGAGCTCAGCAATTTTTATTTATACAGTATTTACTACTGAAAAACTAATGACCATATTTTTAAAAATGTTGTCAACATTGACTTTCAAGGCCAGATTATTTCGAGTATAAATAGAAAATCAGCGTAGCGTATAAAAGAACTAAT